TATATATATATATATATATATATATATATATATATATATATATATAAGGAGAGAGTGAACTAATAGTAGGAATTAAAAAAAGAGGATATAAAAAAACAGGCATTTCATTCGCCCGAATTACGGAGGTAGGTTGGGATTTTAACCTACAATATCTACGGGCTTCTACGTCTTCCAGAAGTCTCCGTGTCTCATCAATCTCTCAACTAAATTGTGAGTTCTTATTTTCCTTCGATGAGTTAGAGGCTCAATATTGGTTTGCCACCAAATGGCCTGAATCGGAGTAGAAAATGCTCCAACCACTATAATTCTAAGAACATTATTTTGAGTATAGTTCCAACCTTTTTCTGTATAAACAATGAAGCAGTTACAAGAAAGTTTCTTTCTTAATAACAGGCCTGACTTAAGATTTATAATTGGAACATCGTAGATCTTGCGTAAAATCCCACTTTACATTGGGAAGCCTATTAAGCAGTCTGCTTCTCTTGTTGCCGATATTCGGTACCCTTTTGGCTTGTTTATTCCAACGAAGTTTGGAAACTAAAACAATTCTGAAATAGGTAGACTCATGAGTCCTGTGGAGCTAATGGTCTACATAAAAGAGCTCAATGTCTTAAGGTTTGGCACTTACAGTAAAACATAAAAAGCTCTGTCTTACTAGTATTTATAATCATTTCATAGATTTTGATTTAGTCAAATGAGTATTGAAAGCGCGTTGTTAAGCAGAACTTAGATAACATGTATGTTTTGTACAGCAGGCCATAAAACAAGGTTATCAGCAAAAAGAAAGATCGGCATCCCCAAATAAGAATTCATATGATAATGTGAGCTAAATCGTTGATCATGATGTTGAAGATAATAGCACTCATGACTACATTAAGTATTTAGAATATATATATATATATATATATATATATATATATATATATATATATATATATATATATATATATATTATTTTTTTTATAATTTAAATTTTAATAAAAAAGAAATTACAAATAGAGTACAGTCTTACCCTGTTAACTAAACCTACTCCTGTGTGTTCTTGAGGGGCTGTTCTATAATTCCAATCAATATCAGACTGGATGAAACTTCTCGCCGCTGTAGGAATATCAGTTACTTTCGGAGGGGATTTCCCGGCTTCTAGTAAGAGAATAGTAACACAATCTTTCTCAGCTAATCGAGCTGCTAAAACAGATCCTGCAGTACCAGCACCCACTGAAAGAAATTCCTTCAGAATATTAGCAGGGTGAAATCTGGAATATCTGTATTTAACTTGTGCATTATTAAAAATTTCTTGTATTTGCCACCGACCATTTGAATGTAAATCATAGTAAATAATCCACATTTAAGAAGTTATTAAGGTTATTCGTAAATGGGTGAGAGTTTAAATATTGCAAAATAAACGCAACTCACAGTGTTTGTTTCTAGATATTATTATTTTATCCAGGTGAACACAAATGTAAACAGGGTCCACCATATTTATCTGTCAACGTTTCTCAAACGTTGGGGCGTGCACCCCTAAGGAGGGCATGATAACCCTACGTGCGAGGCGCGAGCATATCGAAAAATCGAAAATAATATTTAAAATAATTATTAATTTACTGAAAAGAAGCAAGATAAAATACATTCTGACATAAAAAAAAATTAAATACACATTTAAACTGTCTTAGCTATAAATATATAAGTACAGCACAATGTATTTAATCATTAATTTCATACTAGCGACTTTCATGGGCTAGTCATATACAAAATTTAATATTTATCTTGATAATTTGTACGATTTATAATTATAGTCATATTAATGTGCGTCATACATTATTATTGCATTCAATACGTTCTTATTGTATGGTAGGGGCGTTGAAATTATGACTGAAAATTGGGTTGCAAATATTGAAAGTTTAAGAAGCACTGATCTAAGTCCCAACTGGCTCTTGAGACAATAAGTTGAAATCTTAGTTGAAGTTGTACATGTGTATAAGGATTGTAGCAGGGACGATAGTACGGGCAGTGGAGTTTAATAAAAGGAAAAAAGTATGTCATAAAAATCCAGATGAAGAACCCAGACTTTTGCTCTATTTTTTTGCAGTGAATTAATTGCCTTAAATGAAGGCTTTTAATCGATTTTGTCGGATAATGATGGTAAAGAAATTTAGATTTTGTCTGATAATTAAAAGTTCTACTCAATACTTAACCAAATGGAACAGTATGAGAGGCAATACTGGATTGACTATTCTGTGTGTGATAAAACTAAAACTACTCCCACTTCCAATGCATCCTTTCACATGTTGACGTTGAAAGCAATGGGATTACAGACACTTTGACTAAAACTAGGGCTTGTGGTCTTTCGATATCATTTTCACCTTTCACCAAATGGAGCTGTTTTCGAGGGCAAAATTCAAAATCAAAACCAATTGGTTTGTTCCAACACATCCATACTAGTATCAGAGCAATAGTTCTGGTGGTTCTCTGACACTTGGTTTTAACAGGAAGGCACTTACGCGCTTTCTCAGCGATCATCTTAGATGTTTTACTCAAACTGATAAGGCCAAGAGCTTATGAAGCCAAATGTTAGAAATAATTAATTGTGGTAAGCCTGCCACAGAATTCATGAGTTTGAGTGCTTAGGGCACATGTGGAAAAAGAGACATCTTCGGCAACCCTGCTCCTTTTTTCCCTTCCTTTTTTTGCCGTTCACGTTGGATTTCTCAATTTGACAATTGCTGAGAAACGAAAAATTTGCTGTTGAATTATTTGAAAGACGTTTAATTAAACTAGATTTTTTAGTGCCCCTTTTTAAGATTATGATTTCCAACGATAAATTAGAAAATAAATATTCTGATATATTGTATTTTATTGTTTCAAATCCTACGAAAGAAATTATTATTATAAAATAATGAATGTGTTAGTTTTTTATAATACATTTTACATCAGATACGTTTCCATTTTTCTAAAAATAATTCATGAGTTTGATTGCTTATGGATCATGTGCGGAAAAACAACTTTCGGAGAGTGCGTAGGCACTAGTTCCGTGGATAAAAATAATTATAATTTCTTAAATTATTTATCAAAATTATAAATTTGAAGAAATATTCCAGAGAGAAAAAAGTAGGAAAAGAGTTTTATAATCAAAAAAGCTCACGCAACACCGAGCTAAACAGAGGGAAAACAAACCTGTCAAAAAGGAAAAGAAGAAGATATTCCAGAAAAGGGAATTTTAATGACATGTGTGTTGTGGCTAATGCCACCTGTCTGACGTAGTCAGAACGAGGCCCACGAAATTCATAGTGGCAAGGGGCTAGAAGTACGCCTGTCGTTGGCCTAGGCCTTGAGCCCCATACAGATGACAGTACGAATTAGTTCGGCGAAATTCCTCGAAGGGACGATAGATGGCGACACCACCTATCTCCACCTCCACAATTTTGCCATGGGTCTTGAGGGGAGGGAAATATTCTCCAGTCTCCTGCACTCGTGATTCAGCCCACAAGACTTTCGGACCCACTGATTTAACGAGCACGTACTCCGTGTGTACTCGGAGGGTATTTGGTGGCATCGGGCATCGAACCCAAGCCATTAACGTAGAAATCCCCCACACACACAAGGAAGTACTGCCATCATGATGGGAAGAGGAAATTTCTATGAGTAAACAGTTATACACTTGAAAACGCCCGTGCAACGCCGAGCCATGCAGCTAGTATTTTATATTTTTAGTGACTCATATTACGGGATGTAACGTTTGTAACTCAACTAACATAAAAATATCCCAATCAAAATGAATTCATCCCCATCCACGCGTACACGTTACTATAATAAGAGCACTACTTACCGATAATGTAGTCGTAAGAGTCTTTGATGTCCTTCGTCGTTTTAGGAGTATGTTTCTGTCCTATCATGGAAAGTAAAATCATTGAGAGGAACTGGGAAGTGGCATAAGGAGTTGGATACGACGCCTCAAAAGTCAGGTTATACGGAAGCGAAGGATCCCACATAGTGATCTGAAAAGGGTATTTAATACATATGTGCATATATATAAACACTCATGAAATACCAAAACATTGTTACATAGTTCTTAACTTACCAAAACAACAAAAAATTATTCTTGAATTATTAAATAGATGTTTTGTCTTGGTAAACCTGATAATCTTAAAGACATTTGAATGCTTTAAGCTTGATTCAAAGGTTCACTTACTTCAGTCAATGGGCCTCATTATTTTAATGAAGTGTATTTGATATGTAAGCTAACTATTCATATCCTTCACGTCTCGCCAGCGTATAGACTTCCAGCCTTAACAAATTAAACAATGCGTTACATAATATCCGAATACTACATTAGTACGCATTACTATTACCACATTAAATGCTTTTGTCTGGTTTACACTGATGATAACTCCATAATAATAGGTAACCCTGGCGTAAATTTTTATCCGAGTTCTGTGATTGCAGCTTCAAAGAGAAATCAAACACAGCATCAAGTGTCATATATTTCACTTACATGAAACGTTAACTAGAAAAGACTTCTAAAAAAAGAGTGTGTGTGCTAATGACTACACGATAGAAGTGATAACTTCAAATTTTGAAATGTTATTTCAAGGATTAGTTAGGTGAATAAAAAACAAGGGGATATTAATATTGTCATATAAAATTATTTATATGACAATATTATATGTCTGTACCCATATGTCTGTACCCATAAAGTAATCTTTTTTGCGAAATATACAATC